ATTCGTATTTGCCAATAATTACATATCTGGCAAGGGACTTATCTCTAAGACTTATAGAAAACTCCAATGCCTCAACACCAAAGGAATTAACAATCCAATTGAAAAATGGGCAGAAGACATGAATAGACACTTCACCAAGGAGGATATTCAGGTGGCCAGGTAATACATGAAGAGATGCTCACAATCACTGGCCATCAGAGAGATGCAAATCAAAACAACAATGAGATACTGCCTCACCCCAGCATCAATGGCAAGGCTCAACAATACAGAAAATAAGAAATGCTGGCAGGGATGTGGAGATATTGGGACTCTCATACACTGCTGGTGGGACCGTGAAGTGATACAACCACTGTGGAAAGCAATATGGCGATTCCTTAGAAAGCTGGAATTGGAGATACCATCTGACCCAGCAATCCTATTACTAGGTATATATCCTAGAGAGGTGAGAGTCAGGACAGGAACAGATACATGCACACTCATGTTCATCGCAGCACTATTTACAGTAGCAAAAAGATGGAAACAACCTATGTGCCCATCAGTGGAAGGCAAACTATGGTACATACACATAAGGGAATGCTATGCAGCACTGAAGAATAATGTAGAGACTGCAAAACTGCATAATATGGATGAACTTGGAGGACATTATGCTGAGTGAAATAAGTCATTCACAGAAGGACAAACATAGTCTTAGTTTGTTGTTGTGGGGGGTCAAGGAGAGGTTTATATATGGAGGGAAACTTTCTTTGTTGGTTACCAGGGATGGGAAAGGAGGGGAGGGAACACTGAAAAAAAAAAAAAAGGCACTGACCCATGTCACTTTAGTTTTGTGTATTTCATTGTACATAAATTATATTTCAATAAAACGCATTCAAAATATAGTTTAATTAGAATAGCACAGTACACATAAAAATCCTTGTTTTTGTTCATCAGTTAACTCTTTTTCTTCCTTACCTTTTTCCCACCTGGCTTCTCCACAGTGAAAACTTCACTCCAGATCTGGATCCCAGTGGTTTCTGGGTCAGAGCCTCCTCGCCATGAAAATCCTGTTAAGGGTTCTTCCAAGTCCCCCAACCAACTTGAATGGCTACCATCCTTCTAAAAAAGAAGTAAGAAATTTCTACTGAATCTTAAATGAGCAAAGTCACACAACAAGGATAATCCATGAGCTTAATCTGCTCAGTGGGACATAAAAAGTCTCATTTTCTGAAATGAAACAATTCTCCCTTACCTGAAAATACAAGTATCGCAGCATAAAATCCAGGAAGAAGGACTTGCCCTTTCTGAAAGCACCAGCCACTGAGAGCACCACCACATCAAGATCTCGGACGTGGTCCTGCAGCAGGACGCTGGCCAGGGCTCGCTCTTCTAACTCAAACGAATGCTGCTCTTTGTGAACACAGACAATCTGCACTGGACCAGGCTTCCTACACTCCATGGCATCACCTAGGTTCACACAGAGATAAAAATTAGTCTCAAATACTTATGGTAAATGCCTATTTTGCAAATGGGGAGAGCAAAAAATTCTGTAAAAGGACACAGAAACACTAACCATCAAAGAAAATTATGACATTGTGCTGAGCGAAACATTCCAGAAAAAAAATTGTGTCTTTTGTATAATTCCATTTCTATAAAGCTCAAGAGCAGACAAAACTAAGTGACAGAAGTCAGAAAAGTATCGCTTTGGTGGAAAGAGGGTTACTGACTAGAAGGGGGCATGAGGCTGTTCACCAGCTGTTGGGATTAGCCTGAATCTTGACCTGGAGGATCTTTAGATGGGTGCTTGGTAAAGCAGAGGGTAAGTAAAAAAGAGGAAGTCGACCCTCAGGGAGAAGGACACACACAGAAGCTGCAACAATGGGCTCAAACACACAACCACGTGAGGATGGTACAGGCCAGGCAGGGTTTCACTCTGTTGTTCACAGTTAGTTCCTAAGAGTCTGAACAGACTTGATAGCACCTAACAACATGCATGTGTAAACAATCCTCAAGCTGTACATTTAAGATCAATGTACTATATTCTTTATTTCATGTGTGTTATGCCTCAAGAAAGTATTTTTTTAAAGAATATATCCTCACACATACATATATACAATACAGAACACATAATTTAAAAGGTGGAAGAGATCTAGGAAAAACTTAATCTCCCATCCTACCCTCCAGACATCTAGTTCCCTTCCACAGAGACAATTAATACTGCTGGTTTCTAGTCTGTCATTGCAGAGATCAATCAATATTATTACAAGGGCATTTTCGTATCATATAGATCAACGTTCAATTCTAAGAATGAGCTCAACAAAGAAGAATAAAGAAAACCAAAGACATGGAGGCAATTAGTGTAAGAAAATGCAGCCCTGGTACACCATGCAACCCTCAGCCTATACGACAACTATGAGACCAGAAGAACTATATGGTGCCTGGCTAAGCACTGTCAACCACTCTGAGGGGGAATCTATGTAGGAGATCCTGGATATAGTGGGAGAACAATGTGGAACAAAACTCAAAATTAAAAAAAAAGGGGAGGGGGGTCCAGGTTTGCTGGTCTGATGGAGCCTGGTGGAACCTCTGAGACTATGGCCCCTCGCTGCCCTTCAGGTCTGGAATTGAACCTACTCCTGTGGCTTCCAGCCAAACAAGACAGGCATATATGGGCTGAACATTTACATTAGGTAGATACACTAGGGAGATACACTCCTTGGAGAATGGAAGGGCTGTGTATGCACAGGGAGACAGCTTGGGTGGGCAGGAGTGCAGGGGAGGGAAGGACACGGGAAAAGGTAACAATGGGGAGGAAGTGGGAGGAGACCTGTTACATTGTGAGAGATTGCAGTCAATGTCATGAGACAAAGTGTATGTGAACTGCTGTACCGAAAGTGAATTTGCTCAGTAAACTTTCACCCAAATCACAATGAAAAAAAAAAAAAAAAAAAGGAATGACCTCAAAAGACCACACACTCGTAAAAGCAAAAGTAATTAACTGTCCAGGAGATTACAGGGCTCCTCTAACTGCCTGGTACTGCTAAGTCTTTTACATGCATTATTCTATTTAATCCTCAGAACAAGTCTATGAGGTAAGTAATATTGCCTCACTTTAAAAGTAAAGAAACTGAACTTTTACAAAGGTTAAGTATCTTGCCCAACAGGTCCTAAAGACAAGCTCACACATCTCTACGTGACTGTGTTTGACAGCTCAAAGTTTTAGGGTCAAGCAATTCTACAGCTCAAAATTAGGTACCAACTAGAAGTTTCTCAACCAGAATTGAGAGCACGATATACAGTCTTTGAAATTCAGAGTCATTTAGCTGCTGTGGATCATGAGCTTACAAAAATCTACCAGTGAGAAGTAGGCAAAGTACTATTTCCTTAAAAGGGAGTAAGTACCACTGGCATTAAAAATGATGTTTTTAGGTCATATAAAGGTCATTTTTTATTTTTAAAATTATGGCTTTTTTTGTTTGTTTGTTTCTGATTGTAAATGTTCAACCATATGCCTGTCTATTATTTGGCTGAAAGCCACAGGTATGAGTTCAATTCCAGACAAGAAGGGTAGCTAGGGGCTATAGTCGCAGGGTTCTCACTAGGGTCTATCAGACCAGCTAATCTCGTCTTTTTTTATTATTTTGATTTTTGTTCCACTGCTCTCCTGCTCTGTCCAGGATCCCCTGCACCGACCCTCCTCCAAGTGGCTGACAGTGGTAGCCAGGCACCTGAAGGTAGCTAGGGGCCACAGTCGCAGGGTTCTCACTAGGGCCTATCAGACCAGCTAATCTCATCTTTTTTTATGATTTTGATTTTTGTTCCACTGTTCTCCTGCTCTATCCAGGATCTCCTGCACCGACGCTCCTCCGAGTGGCTGACAGTGGTAGCCAGGCACCATCTAGTTCTTCTGGTCTCACTGTCACATAGGCTGAGGATCACATGGTCTACCAGTCTCTTGGATTGTTTCCACGTGTCTTTGGTTTTTGTGGTAGTTAAATTTGTGTGTCAACTTGGTTGGGCCTAGTTGAGTGGCTGGGCAGCTGGATGTAGTATTCCCCATGATGAGAAGTAATCAACTCCATGGTGGAATCTACTGTGAGTAGCTAGCTACCTTAGGGATGTGGTCTGCTTCTTGTATATAAAGAGAAGCCTTGGAAAATGGTCTCTAGCTTATGGCATGCTTAAATCCTGCATGTAGCCATGTCTTTGTTCAGAAGTGTACCATGCTCTGCCAACCTTGAGACTTTCAATGAACTTGAATTAATGGCCTGGCATGTGGTTTGGTAACATCGGGACTGTGCCTTTCTACCTGTCAACCTTGGGCTTATCAGTCTCAGCAGCCAGCAGCTGTCTGACTGGAAAAAAGCCTCTACCTTCAGTGAGCCAGGAGCAGGAGGCAGAGCTTCAGCCTCTATAGCCTGGCACTCTGAGCTCACCCAGCCTCTATAGCCTGGCACTCTGAACTCAGACTTAAAGCCTGTAAACTGTTAGAGAATGCACTCCTGTTTGTTCAAGCCATCCCATTCGTGATGTATTCCTGTCAGAGTGGCACTAGGTAACCAGAACAGTTTTCTTCATAATCCCTTGCTCTGGACAAGGAGAGACCCATTGTTGCATCTAGATGGCTGCTTACAAGCTTTTAAGATCCCAGCCACTACTCACCAGAGTAAGATGCAGAACAATGTTTTTGTGTAGTATGTTATGCCAATTGAGTTTGAGGTCTCTTGGAACCACGGTCCCGAGCCCACAGGTCCAACTACTTGTTCCCTCAGGGTAGCTGGCTGTGGCCAAGTCACCACAACCTTGCCCCTTGTCAGCACTACTATACACCTGGACATTCTTACAATGCATACAAATACACCTTAAAAACATCATCTACCAATGCTATACATGGTCATGGGCACAGTCCTCCCTGCCTAGACATACGTGATTGTTCAGCCTGTATTTTAATGTGTTCAAGAACATCAAACCCATGTTTTCATAGGTTATTATTTTAAAAACGTGGTTAAATTTAAAACGCAAACCAACTTAAATTTAAGGACAAATATTAACTAAAGGATAAATAGTACAGATAAGCAGATCTGGCCAAAACCACAAAGATGGTCCCCAAATGCCTTTAGTCTGGGAAGCACTGGAAACTGCACACAAAATGACTTGACTATCAGATTCTACCCTTTAAAAACCAAAAAGACCAGTTGCTGTCCAGTCAACTCTGACTCATGGCATAAATATCAAACCATCATTGTCATTAACATATACTAATTTTCCTTCCCATTGATGCCTTTATCGGAAACATGTATGCTAATAATCTCTTAGGTTCTTACTGTCACAGCAGTAGGTGAATGCAAGACCTAAAAACCTTTGGTCTTTCATACAAAAGAATTAGAAGAATTTGTCAACACCTTACAGATAAGCCATAGTGTTCAGCACTGTACAGCACACAGAGTACAAAACAAAGTCCCTGATTGTGGCAGAGATGGCCCTTCTCCCTTCTGCTACGGTAACTGATTTTTAGTTGGGCATATAAGTATCCAAACGAAACACATTTCCTATCCAACCTTTTAGCTAGGATATGACCATGTAAAGAAGTTCTGACCAACACAAGGTTATTGGAAATGATACAGACAGCTTCCAGGTCATGCCAACTCCCCTTTCCTGTTGGCTGGATGTAAAAGTGGTACTGAGTCATCCTGGGCCAGGCACATGAGGGCAACACCCTGGGAATATTGGAGCAACAAGAAAGGCAGGGCCAGGGCTTCCAGTGGCAGAACTTCCATAATGGTTCACGTCTGTGTGAAAGAAAAGTAAATGTCTCCTTTGTTTAAATCACTTGTTTGGAGGTTCAGTAAGATGCAGCCAAACCTAACACTAATCCTGCAGCCAAATAATAATAAACAGTCATAACTAATACAACAGTCTCCCCCACCAGGGTTTTACAATTAAACTAATGACACTCACTTTTCCAATTTCCTCTATTTCAATAGTGAAGTTTGCTGAGCATTCTCCCCATGGACATAGCAGACATCCAATAAACAATGTGAAAGGAATCAACGGTAGGCAGTGTAATATAGCTGAAGGCCGAGCTCCTGAGGATGCAGGTGGCTTTGCCAGAACGACCCGCATGAAAGATAAGGTCACGTGGCTACAGGCAAGATGGAAAGATCCAGTAACAAAAAGTATGAAGCTGTACACAATGAGCTGCACTTCAAGGGAAGCTGAAGACCACTGAGAAGGAAGGTTGGAAACAGACTGCTAGAGCCTTCACTCCTCTTTCTGCCTAGAGCACAGTATCCAAGAATAAAGGAACAGAACCCAGCTACGTTCAGGGTAGGGAACTGGGTAGATCCTGCATTTCTCTTCACAACACTAGCCTAAGCACTGTCATCTCCATCCACCAGGTTAAAAACAATCTTATTCAAAGTTAAGGAAAGGTTTATATATTGGAGGACATTTTCTTTGTTGGTTAC